CAATGTGATAATCCCTTATTGAACCCAATGAATAGCTATTAACTTTGGCCAATCTACTTTTGGCTAGGTGATTTGGTTCCAAGCACAGAGTTAGGAAGGATATCAGGTGTTGTCATACTAAATTATAAATTATTCAGTTTTCATTTAAATATTGATGGTTGGAAAGTAAGTTGTATGCCCTACTTAACAATCGCATGATTGATTGCATTGCATGTATAGTTGCATATTAATTTTGGTTATTGAGACTTTTAAGTCTCATTCTTTATTGTTAATATCTTTATAGGAAATAGTTTGATCGGAGAAGTACCAAAAGTGTAGTTAGTGTGAGTAAACACCAATTTGGCCATGGTGGTCCCTTTTTGGGTTCATTACGTATAAGTGCCAGCCTTAGGGCATTTGAATTGTTATTGAGTACATGACTCATCCATTTCGATGAAAACTTGTAACTAATAGCCTTTGTGTTGACTTTTGTGATGTTCATGGATCTCCTAAGAATGAATTGAGATTTTTAAGTCATTAGAATAAAAGTTGTTTTATTACTTAATATCATTGCATTTCATCTAATTAACTATGTTGAGTAGCTATAACTCAACTATGAGAATTTTACATGCATGTGTCAAGTTATGATGGTTTAATTGTTGGTTAGGTTGAATTTGAGTTGGTCAAATGTTCCACATATTGGTTGAGGCTTTGGTTTTGGTTTAGAAGTATTTGGTGCTTGGAAAAGTGATATTTTATACCAAATTATGTTTTGGTGGACAAAATCCATGTATGATGGAAAACAAATTAAATCCATTAGCTAGATTTTAAAATGAGCTTCATGTAGACACTTGAATTACTCAAATTGAAGTCATATGTTTAGCTATACGCTTTGAAAGTTTAAATTTTATGATAGTTTTTGCATTGTGTTAATACAGCATTGTGCTCCATCGTGCATGTCCTGTGAGCTATTACACATGTCATAGAGAAGGCAAAGTGGCTTCTCTGTGCCAGATACTATGGTGCTTGACACACATGCAATGACACATGACTTAACTTTATAGAAATGCCCTGTTTTTAGAAAATTTATTTTTAGAATGGTCCCTTAGCAACTTTTACTCCTTTAGAACTTAGTTTTTGGACAATTTAACCCCTAGAAACCATACTTCATGCTTTAATACATTATCAAAAAATGCATTGCCAATAATTATCATTTTCTTTCAATGGAATCCTATTAGGTACACTTTAATTTGGACATTTCCTAAATTACCATGATAGAGTTATTTGATTATGTTTGATTCTTTCTACCATGATAGATTCTTATCTACCATATTAGTAAATTATTTTTTTAAACTATTATGGTAAACACTTTTCTATTACACTAAGTGTTTAATAACTTTAATTGAGTTAATTAATTATAAATGTGTGAAAAATCAATAAGGAAAGTCAGAATGTTACACATAGCACTACATTATAGTGTTTACATCACAAAGTCCATTTAGGCCATGGGTAGATTTGAATCCAAAAAATTTAACTTTCAACATGAATCAATGTATTTATCATGATGTAGGATTTCTTCAAGCCATTTATATTTTTAAATTTTGGTTTCTTCAACCCAAACCCATAAAGAGAATCTTGAGATGATGAGAACGATGCCTATCACAAAAGAGCTTATTGAATTCAATCATTTGAACTCTATTCCCTCCAAGTATGTGTGCCTTTGATGCTTAGAAGATTCCCATGATCAACTTTTCTAAACTTACCTCCTACAATTCCATGGATACAGTGAAAGCTCAAGGATACGATAAATACACCACACCTTAAAGCTTCAAGGACAAGGATTTTGATTGAAGGGAGATAATGAAGAGTGAGAAAGAAGAGATGAAGTAGAGGAGATAAGATTTGATCAATTAATTTTGGGAGGGGTAGATAGGTTATTTCACTGAAAAATATAATTGTAAATAAGGCTTTTGGCCTCTAGAATAATTTCAAATTTCATTAGACCTTAATTGCAATTTTGTTGCTTCTAGGAGCCATGAGTGCAATTCTCCCTAATTTATTCCTTAAAATGTCTTCTTTCCATTCATGCATTCAATAATACTCATCATTTTCTTAACTGTAAGGTGAGCTAAGTCTTTCTGTCTACTCCTAAAATTTATAAATTTAGAAATTATTCATAAAATTTTGTAAATTATCTTATATTCCCTCCGTCTTATTATAAGACAAAGAAAGTAGTTCAGTTTATGCTGAATAACGAAACTCCTACATAAATAATTAATACTATATAATGTTTTCTTTTAAATTATATTTTAACTTATATTGTTTATTTTCCTGGTCAAACTTATTTTGTTTATTTGTGTTTAAAACTACCTATTGGTTAAGAAAACCATTGTACAACTACAACCTCCAATCCCTATTGTAAATCATATTTTATAAGTTTTTTATTATTGTAAATATAAGTCATATTGCAAAATGTCTAAGTATTAAGTTTTACTCTCACGAGTGCTCTTTGTTAAAAATTGTTTTGCGAACTCTCTGTTTTTTTTAAATGATGTAAATATTCAATGAATCTAAAATTAAGGTTACCAAGGGGCCACTTGCTTTGACTTATTTCATAAAAAATTACTTTTTTTTAAATTATTTTATAAGTTTTTATATGTTTGTTTAAACTTTTAAAAATAATCAGAATAAAAAAAATAAATTTATAATTATTTTAATAAGCTACTTTGAGTAATTTCTGAAAATAATCTAATATGATAGATAAAAGAGAGAGAGTTTTATATGAAAATATCATAAAATTTAAAAATAACTAACTGATAATCACTTTTTAATTTTTGTCACCAAACATAAGATAATGCCTGTTTTTTTATAAAATATCTATAAAATAAATCTCTTTTTATAAAATATCTCTAAACTACTTAAAAATTACTTATTTTTAATTTTAAACAAATGAGCCCTAAATCAAGGTTATTAAACTCACAAGGTTAAGTAAACTTGTGATAGGAATGTAAACTCGTATCGCAAACTCAAATCGCAAACTCATAAGAGTTTACTTCTATTAACAAATAGTCATTGACATATGATTGTAATTTAATTTAAATATATTAAAAATATAAATTATTAAAATTAAATTCATCTACATTGATAAATTATCATATACAAGACATAAAAATTTTACAATAGGAGAACTTATTTTTGATATTTTTTTCTTTTTTATTAATTTTAGTTTGCATTTCAAATTTTTTTCTTCTTTGAACCAGGTTTTATAACTTTTATAAACTAAATTTTTATAGTATATACTTAACTCGCTGAATTCAAAAAAAAATTGACGAGCTTAACAAGTTTAATCAAGGTTACATCTAATCCAAATTTATGAATTAGTTGACATGATTTTGTAAGTTAGAAACATAAAAATGATAAACTCAGAGGTAAATTTATGAGTTTAATCAAATTTATATCTAGTCTGAGTTTATGAGTGAGTTGACACGATTTTATAAGCTGCAAATGTAAAAACGTTAAATTCACAGAGTCAACTTGAGAGTTTGACAACTATGCCCTAAATATATTAATACTCTCTCCTATCTAAAATAAATGTAAATTATCATATATAATATATAAAAATTTTACAATAGGAGAACTTATTTTTGATATTTTTTTCTTTTTTATTAATATTAGTTTGCATTTCAAATTTTTTCTTCTTTGAACCAGGTCTTATAATTTTTATAAACTAAATTTTTATAGTATATACTTAACTCGCTGAACTCAAAAAAAAAATTGACGAGCTTAACAAGTTTAATCAAAGTTACATCTAATCCAAATTTATGAATTAGTTGACATGATTTTGTAAGTTAGAAACGTAAAAATGATAAACTCAGAAGTAAATTTATGAGTTTAACCGAGTTTATATCTAGTCTGAGTTTATGAGTGAGTTGACACGATTTTGTAAGTTGCAAATGTAAAAACGTTAAACTCGCAGAGTCAACTTGAGAGTTTGACAACTATGCCCTAAATATATTAATACTCTCTCCTATCTAAAATAAAGAAACTTTCAAGAATAATTCATGTATCAATAAAATCATCATTTTTTTGAAAAATGTACATTGTTTTTCCTTTTAATCTTCAATCTCAATTATCGAGTGAGAAGTAATAATTTTACATAAAAATCTAAGTTAATAAATATAATGTGTAAAATGAAAAAGTTATACAATTATTAAGTTGTTCATATTTTGGATCAAGATTAGTTTGAAGAAAATGCTTATATTTTGGATAGAAAGGAAGAAGTATCATATTTTAAAATAATAACTAATATTGATTTAATTTTTAAAATGATCTATAAATACTTTTTTTGTTTTCTCTTCCTTTTGAAAAAATTGTTCTCTCCTTGATATTAGAATTGTACTGAAGGACTAAAAAATTATGGTGCAAACAAATAAACATATGGTGTAAGTATATGGCCATGAAATTTCAAGCCTATCTACTTACCCATCATGTTTGCTTATACCAGGTACTTTTATTCTTCAGTGCAATTTTGACTCCAAAAAAAAAATTTGGGAAAGTGAATGTTGAGCATGTTTGGATTGCATTCTAACCTTAGTTAGAACAGGAAAAATTGAGGTTAAGAGGTAAAATGTTAAAATTATCTTGTTTGGATTGGCAAAATTTTTGAACCTCAGTTGGCATGAAAACACATGTTAAGTTAGAAGCTCACTGCCCTAGCTTTTCCTTCTTAGCGTTCACGTTACTACCTGTTAAAAGCAATAAATGCATTTTAAATTCTGATGCTTTCTCTCTCTTATCTTCTCTCTACCGAGCTGTGCTTAGCTTCTTGTGCGTGTTGCTTTTATTCCTATGACCTCCCCATCTGCTCCAAACCACACACCTCAGATCTTGTGCAAAGCTCTACACACCTCAGATCTACCTCCTTTTGTTAGTCATTTGCTCCCTCTGGCCGATCTCTAGCTCTAGTCATCTGCTTCCTTCGATCGATCTCCTACTCACTGCCATCCTTTCTAGTATCCACCATGTTCCTGCTTCGAAGTGCTTCTTCTTCTCATTGCCTCTCAATCTCTACTATGTCCATCGGATCTGCACTTCCCATCATCGAATCTTGCTCTCTATTGCTTGTCTCTGCCACGTAATGTCCTTCTTTTTTCATCTCCTTCTTTGCTTCCTTCCTGTTGTGCTCTGCTGTTCGTTCTTCAAAGATTATTTCTACATTAACCTATCATACTCTACTGTTCCAGAATTGATAATGCTTGTTATCCTTTTTATGTTCCATCCCCTGTTTCATTTATGTTAGAGCAGAGGAAGACTTGCCATCTTTTTTAGAACTCAAGTTATTGGTTTTTGTTTTCTTGACCTGTCATGCTTTGCTGTTCCAAAACTTATCTATGCTTGTGATCCTCTTTACTTTCCATCCCCTGTTTCATTTATCTTAAAGTAGAGGAAGAGTTGTCATTTTTTTTTGGAAAACTTGAGTTGCTGGTTTTTATTTTCTTGATCTATCGTGCTCTGCATGCGTGCATATAACATAAGTATGAAAGACTGATAATGCTGTTATAATGCTGTTATTTATAATGTTGGTTTTTATGGCCGATCTTCTACAACTCAAGTTGCTGTTATTTATAATGTTGTTAGACGAATATAGAAGCTTGAAATCTAAAAGCAATCCCCTGTTCATTCATTTAATCCCTGTTCGTTTATTTTTTGGTGAGTTGAAAGCCTCATAATATTCTTGAAAAGGCAAAAACAACTTCCTGAAAAATGCATGCATGCTGTGCAAATTGATTCTATAGTGCTGTACAAAAAGGCGAAAATAGCTTCTTGAAAAATGCATGCATATCATGTTTTTAATTTATTAATTAGATATTTATTTTGTTACAATTTATTCTATTATTATTTTCTTAATTTATTCTTTTAAATTTTAAATATTCTAAAATCTGTTTCTTAATGTCAGTTTGATAGGATAAGAGAAATTAAGAGTTAGCTGGGTTTATTAAGAGAGATGACCATAGCTAATATTCTTGAAACCTTGAGATCTGATTACAATCCCTTATTCATTTTCAAGGATATATATATATATATATATATATATGTAGAGATATTTATTAATTTTGCATGTTTGTGATGGCTAGCTAGTCTATAGAACAATGAATAGCAATAAAGGAAAAGCTATGTGGAATTCAACCTTGACAAAAAATTTTATTAAGGAATACTTAGAGCAAGTGTATAAGAAATAAAGGAAAGGAACTGATTTTAACAAAAATGGGTGGCAGGCAATAATCGAGGGGTTTGAGGCAAAAATAGGAAAAAGATATAAGCGAAAGCAACTAAAAAATAAACTAGACAATATAGGGAAAAAATGGAACATATGGCATAAGTTGTTTTCAAGTGAAACCGGCTTAGGATAGGACAGTGACAAGAATACTATCAATGCTCTAGATGAGTGGTGGGAGCGAAAAATCTTGGTATGGATTAGTTGTTAAGTGTTTTTCATATTAGAATTTTATTTAAGAATTTTAATTGTTAGCTACTTTAATGGTTGCAGGAAAATCCCCTCTATGAAAAATTTAGATACAAAGGCTTGAGATTTGCAAGGGAATTAAGCTTGATATTCAAGGATATCCCAGCAACTGGGGAGACACTTTTTATACCATTTGCTACCCAGACCCAATTAGAGGATGATGATGACGAAGATGTGTACCACCCTACTATTGACCTTCAAGAAGGCTTCGATGATAGTGAAGATGAGCTAAATTTATCTGACACCATAGTACCTATTGGGGTCACTGATGAGCTGTTGGGCTTAAATGTCACCACAAATATCGGTGAAACTAGTGGTGACAGAAGTCAAGGCAAGAGAAAGAGGGTTGTAGGCATTGGTAGGAGGAAAAAGCAAAAAGTCTTTGCCTCAATGAAAATAGCAGATGCGATGAGTGAAATATCTAAAGATAATAGAGCTAGAATAGAGACAATGAACAAGATTTTGGCAAATGACATAGAAGTTTCTAAGGTTATGGCTCACTTAAATGGACTCCCAGAAGTTTTTGGTGATAAAGATTTGCATTGGAGATGTATCAATATTGTTATGTACAAGCCTATGCGAGATGCTTACTAGCAACTTAAAGATCATCCTAATCACTTGGTCAATTAGTTGAAGCACCAAGTCTACCATCTACCAGATTTTATTTTAAAGAATACATCTGAATGAATTTTTATCTAGGCTTATGATGACGTGACTTGTGTTTGACTTATACTTGTTTTATTTTGACTTATAGTTTGCTATGCAAATGATGACTTGGTTTATAGAAAATATTTAACTATTATCTAATGCTTAACTTATGCTTTATTTTTTATGTTGTTGAATGATATTTATATATTATTTTAACTTAGGTTTAAAAATCATGGAAGATTCAAATGAATATATGTTATGTTGGAAGGAAGGTTGGGATGTAAATATGGCTCACCAACTACTTCCATTGTTACAACAAGATATAACTGAGCAAGAAAAAATATGTCAATTAATTGGTGAATATGTGATGCCATATGTGTGTAAAGAGCCACGAAGAACTAGCAGGCAAACAGGGCAAATGTGGGTCAATGAGATTTTAAAAGGTTATCCTGATCGTTGTTATAAAATGTTTTGAATGGAAAAACATTTGTTTAGACAACTGTGTGTGACACTAGTTGCGCTTGGTCTAAAGAAATATTAAAAAAATGGTGTTGAAGAAATGGTTGGAATATTTTTAAATATAGTTGGACATGGAGTTGGTAATAGGATGATATAGGAATGATTTTAGCATTCAGGAGAAATCGTCCATATAAATTTTTATAAAGTATTAACTGCTTGCTTTAACCTTTCCAAGAAAAACATAAAGTCACTTGATCCTTTATTTTAACGATGTCATTCAAAAATTCAAAATGATCCATGGTATTGGTCATTCTTTAAGGATGCTATAGGAGCAATTGATGGCACTCATGTGCCATGCATGGTTAGTATTGCTAATCAAATCAAATTTATTGAAAAAAAGGGATATACAACACAGAATGTCATGGCTGTATGTGATTGGGACATGTGTTTTACTTTTGTCATTGCAGGATGGGAAGGTATAGCTCATGATGCTCGAATATTTGATAGTGCCATATCAACTCTTTCAATGCATTTTTTGCATCCACCTCTAGGTATATTTTATTAAAGTCATTATAATTATTATTGCATTGATTTAATGTTGGTCAAATTTACAACACTTCCTTTCATTTAATAAGTAGATATTATTTGGTTGATTCTAGTTATCCAACACTAAATGGATATTTTGGTTCATATCATTGTGAACATTATCACCTTCCAGACTTCAGGCGAGTTGCAGGATTTGCAAACAATAATGAGATCTTCAATTATTATCATTCAAGTTTGAGATACACTATAGAAAAAACTTTTAGAGTGTGGAAGAATAGGTTTTCCAAATTTAAATATAAAATATAAGTTTAAATTGTTTGTGCAACAATGGTGATACATAACTTTATTAGAAGAAATTCAATTATTGACGAGCAGTTCATACAAGATGAAGATGAAAGTGTAGATGTCGAGGAGGAAGATACCGATATTGGTGAGGCATCTTCATCAAATCTACCTAGATCATTAAGACAGATGCAGCGTGTTTGTGAGATAATTAGAGATCAACTTATAAATCATATCAATTGAATATTAATTTATTTTAGGTTTTCATGATTGAATATTTAAAATATTGTACCTATTAGTTGTGATTTTAAATTTAATATTTTTTACTGATTAGTTAGTCAAAACAATATGAATATGCTTATTTAAGATTTAATATTTAAGATAAAAAAATTCATGCTTATTTTTTTCATCAAATATCTCAACTGGCTTTTGAATTAAATCATCCAAATAAATTTTAATTTATCTAACTGACTTTTAAAAAAAATATCCAAACATAAATCACATTATATCAACTAACTTTTTTTAATTTCAGTTTGCTAACCTCAATTATAAATTTTTTAATCCAAACACACACCGAGTAATAGTTTTAGTTTTTTTGGAGAATGATAAAAAAATTTCAAAAGAATCAATTAATTTAAGTTAAATTTTAAGTGTTAAATTTTAAAAATTTACCAATCTATCTCTCAATTTCGCAATTGCATTATAATAAATTTATAACTTATTTTTTAAATTTTAACATGATTGAAGAATAAAAAATTATTTTTTAAATTAAAATTTAAAATACAAGTTATAAATTTATCACAATAAAATTTAAAAATTAAGATATTAAATTATTAATTTTAAAAATTTAATATTTAAAATTTAAATTAATTAATTTTTTTAAGACTTCTATACCCTTCCAATTTTTTAGAGTTTTTGAAGTTGCGGCAAACACCATTGGCGAAGTAAAGAAGCAGTTCAGTCGGATGACGAAGCTCCCGCGTGAACAGTTAAACACGTGTTGCGAGTGAACGCATTAGCATCTCTTCAACTTCAATAAATATTAACTCCTCAACACTAAAAACCCAAAATTCTCAAAACAATAAAAACCTTTATCTCACTTAGTTAATGATTATCCCATTATTAGCCACCTTAAGTACACTCTTAATCACTCGCTTTCCCAATCTCAACCACCTCCTCAACCCCCCAAACCAAATTCAAAATTCACGAACCCCACACCTTTTTATATATACACGTACACCTTGTTCCTCTCTCTTCAATTCAATTCAATCTTCACCTTCTCACAAAACATACACAGTTTCAGAATTCATACTACAAACTGAAACAAATTTATTTACCTTTCATCAGCGACGATAATGGCTTCCGTTTTAGCTTCTTCTTCTTCTCCTCCTGCATTATGTGATTCTGTTGATGTTGCTGCGGAATTCGCACTCGATTTTAGCGCCAAGCTCAGGATTGAGGAGCCGGGTTTGAGTGTTGTGGATGAAGAGGAGTTTAGCTTTGTTTGTGGGGATCTCTCTGAGACTTTGGCTTCTGCTGATGAGCTTTTTCACAACGGCCAGATCCGCCCTAAGTTCCCTTTCTTTGTCGACGAGTGCGAGGGTGGTTCACCTCTCCGCCCGCCTTTGAAGAAGCTCTTTGTGGAGCGGCGGGACATTTCGTCGCCGGCGTTGGAGGACTCTGAATCCATAGAATGGAACAGAGCTCCGCCGGTGAGATCGTACTGTAGGTGGTCGAACAAGAAGACCACGGAGGTTTTGAACCAGAGGTGCGAGAAGAGTAATTCCACGGGATTCTCAAAGCTCTGGAGGTTTAGGGACTTGAAGCTACGGAGCAACAGCGACGGGAAGGACGCTTTCGTGTTCTTGACAGCGAGCACCAAGAAGCGGGCTAGCTCTGGCACGACGGAGGCCGAAAAGGCCGTGAACGTGAAGGGAAAGGCGGAGAAGATCATTTCCGGCGAGGGAAAAAAAGACGCCGTAAGGAAATCGAAGAGCAAAACGGCGTCGTGGGGACCAGAGAAACACTATGTTATGATCAGAGCGAGGAAGGAGGGTGATAGAAGGAGATCATACTTACCTTACAGGCAAGATCTGGTAGGGTTCTTCACCAACGTGAACGGATTCAGCAGAAATGTTCATCCTTTCTGAGTTTTCGATGCAACGTTATCGAATGAAGCAAAGAAGAGATTGGAAAACTGATTAGTAATTTGTAAGTAATTAAGTTTTTTTTTTTTTTTAACCTTCTCAGGTATAGGAATCTAACTTTGATTAGGAGGATCTTTCTTTAGCCGAAGGAATTGAATCTTTTAGAAGAATTGAGGAAATTTTTTTTGCTCTTAACAAGAGTTTGTAATCTCCTCAATGATCATGTAAATTCAGTACTCCTGAGTCATTAGTAACTTATTATCATGTGCTGATGATATTTTATTACATCAAATCAGAGAAATAAAAAAAAAATGGTCGTTAAAAAGTTCATAATTTTGTGTTGGATCGTGTTATTTAATTTTGACATTTTAATGTTTTATGCTTGGTATTTTTTAATACTTAATTAGAAACATTAGCGATAAGACGAACGTCGTGCTTAAAAAATTTTTAACATTAAAAGAGCCATACTTTAATGTGGTTATAATTAAATGGTAAACAATGTAATTTATTATTTTAAAATATATATTTTTAATTGAGTATAAAAACTATGCCTAAATTTTAACCATATTTTATGCCATTTGTTTGGGTTAAAATCTAATTTGGATAGCAAGTCCAACCATTTAAATTAAAAAGAGTAATTTTGGCCCAAAACTTTACCTAAAACTTTCAGGAAAGAGATGGTTAAGGGAAAAACTTGGTTAAGAAATGTTCCATCTCAACAAAGTAAGAGCGGTGGAAGTTATAGGAAAAATTGCAACTAATAACCATAAAAAGTAAAGCATGGAATCATGAAAAAATTATTACTTTATGCTTATAAAAAATAAAAATAAAAAGTCACTAAACACACAAGGGCCTTCAACTCTTCCACTCTACAGACACATTTTTTCAACAACTCTCAAGTCTTAATGGTTCAACAATTGAATTCCAAAATTTACTTATTCAATACAAAAATCTTAAATTTATGTCATCCCTTACTTTACCCGGCATGGCTCATTTTATTCTTCAATAAATTTGATATAGCACCCCTAACGTGCCATACATTTAATAGAGATCATTGGAACTTTTTAGTAACTAATAGAGCACTAACTCCTAACAAAACAATAATAACAGCACTAATGCTTTTCCTTTCAATTTTTCAGACTTTTTCTTTTATCGTTATTAATATAATATTTGTTCTTGCCATACTCCATTTTTCTTCCTCCATTTCCTTTATTTTTAAACACTTCTGTTTGAAAACATTGTGGTAAAAAACCACAAGAACTTATCATTTAATTTTAGAAGTCAGGAATATCACATTTTTTGAGGGCACATTTTTCTAGCACACCTACACACAGAAATAACAACGGAAAACACTGTGTTAGCATCTTCATTTGAAGATTCTTGTATTTTATACTATCTTTATTAATTTTATTTTTATTTATAAAAATAAAAATACTCTTTTGAAAATAATTATTGTTGTATTTAAATTATTAAAATAATAATAATAATAATAATAATTAAGAAAGAAATCATAATTTTAAAGTAACCGGTATTTTGGAATGGATGTAGAGAGATTGAATCAAAACCAATTTCAATTCCTCTCATTTAATAATTGCATAGGAAATTTAGATAATGCTTGGCTCACAAGAAAAAAAAATAGGAAAGAGAAAAAAATGAGAGGAGAGAAAATAAATTGGAGTAATTTTCTCTCTCTATATTTGACTAAGAAAAAGAAAATGAGGATGGAAAAATTGTAAATTTTGTATGAAAAATAATAACATTCTTATTTCTAAAAATATTTATATATAATAAAATTTAATATTTTAACATATTTATATAATTTTATTATACATTATTGATTGAATAAACATATAATTGTAAATCATTTTTCTGATGTTAAAAAAACCATCATTTTGCTTTATTTTAAATTTTATTTCTTAAATTATTAAATATATAATAATTTAAATTCTAAAGTGGAGAGAAAATTAGAATAAAAATAGAGGGAGGCTAAAAAACAAATAAAAAGATTCATGTGTAAATTTAAAATTAAGTTTTTTCTTCAAAATCTCTCTATATTTATTATTTGGAGAGAAAAGTTAAAGATAAAAACATATAAGTTTTACATATTATTTTTCTCTCAAATTTCTTTTTCTCTCATTTTTTTTCCTCTTTAGTCAAATAAGAAAAATGTCATTTTCTTTCTCACTTTTCCCCCGCCGTAACACAGCATAGTAGTTATTATTATAACAAATGTAGACATTTAACATGATGCAGTTTTTTTTTAAACCACCGATTCCAATGTAGTAGGCCAGTGGTGCATTAAGAAAGTAAGGAACCATTTCACCAAAAAAAAAAAAAAAAGTGAGGAACCATAAAAATGAAAATTTTAAACCATCTTACGCCACTTTAGTCTTTATTCCACCCAATCCGAAAAAGCTCAAGAAGCTAGAATGGAATTATAAAATATTACTACTTTTTCTTTCCTCCTAAAAACGTTCAACGATCAAAATATGATAAATCTTGATGTAATATGAACTTCAAAATTTGAACTGCAAGTCGACGATGAAGTTTGAATGAATGAAGTGCACCGACCAAATTCACAAAAGGGGCCGTCCTCCTAAACTTTTCTCAGTTGTCTGATAAAGATGGAAAGGTTCAGACTCAGTCACAAGACACAACCTCCAAACTACTTACAATTATTGTAGTTTATGCTCAGCTTCTTATTTAATATACTCGTTTTAATTTAATGATTTATCATTTACAGTTCATTACAAGCTGTTCCTAAGATATTTGTTATTAACCTTTTATGGAATGAGCATTTTATTTAGGTATTGGTTATAACCTTGTAACCTCATGACTTTGTTTTTGTACCACTAAAAAAATAATAATACAATTTTCTGTTTATTTATTTCTGGCATCATTCTCAAGTGAAATTGTCAAAAAATAATAGACTTGTCATATCTAGCAAAAATCCATAAACTATACTAAGGTAACATTTGAATTGATAGATTTAAATTTAAATTTAAAATTTAAAATCTCATATTTCAAATCTCATATGTATAATTCATATATTCAAAATTATTTGTTAAGATAGTTTAAAAAAAAGTCAAATGAAGAGAGATGAATTGAGATTTAAAAAAAAAAAAAAAAATAAAAAATGATGATATATATATATATATATATATTTTAATCAATAAAAAATAAAAAAAATATACGAGTAATAGAAGCATCAATGTTAAAAACATGAAAAAAAATGAAGCATTTAAAATGATTAAAATTTTAAATAAATAGGTCATAAGAAAAATTTGAAATTAAAAAAATGTAATAAGAGATAGATTTCCAAATCCATAAAATTTTGTTTATGCAAATGAGGGATTTAATCTAGATCCAAATATAAATTTTTGTTAATCCAAACACACCATCAAGATTTTTCTTTAATTGTCCCTTAGAACGCCTAATATTCGGCTAAGCAGCCCATTATTTTGGAACGATTCTTAGGGTTATAAGGAATCCTGCTTCTTTGCTCTATATTTTAATACAAGGCCACTAAAACAATTGCGTAGGAAAAATGTACTAATTTAGATCATTGGCCAAAAAGATCTCTACGCTCCGCAGGTAGATCATTGAAGATTAATATCAAGACCTTCATGATGAGGATGTTAGACGAGCCAATCTGTGTAATCGTTTGCTTTCTTAAAGCGTGGTCTCAAATGATAGTCAATTTTTCATTACAAGATCCTTGTTATTATTATTATTATTTTGGGGACGGATTTGAAGAAAGGATGGATTCAAGAGTACTCATTTTGGATGAGACCAAAAGCTTCCATAAAGTTAAAATACTTCCTCTAATTTTATTTATAAATTACTTCTAGCGTGTTTCATCAAAAAAAAAATCTTAAACTTCATTAACTTTATCTTAAAATTTATTAAGTTTTTACCTTTGTCCTTAATAAATATTTTTAAATTTTATTATTGATATTTTTATTCAAAGCATTTAATAAGAACAAAAATATAAAACAAAGCACTAAAAATTAACAAATATCCTGTAAATAGGATCTTTTTTTTTCTTTATCCTATAAATAAGACCAAAGAAATAGACATTAACCTTGGACTATGGTCAGAGTACTCCTTCTTTGCTCTTTAAAATACAGATAGTAGGAATATTATGAGCAACGATGTTCGTGGACCAGGTTTCGATATTTCATTTTAATTTTTTTAGGAAAATCTTTATTTATATGATCCTTGCAAGTCTATGGCTATGTTCATATACCACTTTCACACGGCATGATTCGTTAGAACATATTTTTTTGAAAAAAGAAAATTATTTTCCTGGTATCAGTCCTCACAAGCTGTCATCCTCTTCTTAAATCACACAAGAAATGAGATTGATGTTTTGCAATAGCTATTGCAGAACTGGACATCATAAGAGGGGAAAAACAAACAACAAAGTAATACAAGAGAGACTGAGAGAGGACAGGAAAAAGAGAGAGGATATACGAATTATTTCACGTGTGGGGGAGAGGTAACAGAAACAATCTCTTCCTTTATTTGGTTTATTAAGATATATATATATATATATATATATAGTATTTACCATTAATATATCCCATTTATATTCAATCATATCAATATACCTTCATTTCTATATTTTAAATTTTCTAGTATTTACTTGCAAATATACTTTATTTATATTTAAAAAGATAGTTTTGTACAATTTCTATTATTATTCATAATATAAAAATTGCAATCATCTCATCCAATTGAACCAATAAACATTAAATCAATATCTCGACTAATTTACTAAAATATTTTACTTATATCTAGTTTGATCATAATTTAACTATAATTTTGATCATTAATCATTAAATCAATGCCTTGATCAATTCAATAATTACTCCAATTTTAAGTACTTTGTTATTCATCCTGGTGAGTGATACTGTGAGCACCAAATGGTTCGATGGCATGTCATTTTCCCTCCCTCCTTTCATTTCATCACTCAACCAATAATAGACGGTGCGCTAATGGCATAACATGGGTCCCATATAATTCCTTCCCTCCCAATCCTCTTCTTTTACTTCTTATCTATGCAAACCAAAAAGAAGAAAGATGCTCTGAATCAATCTTTTCCTTTCCCTTCTATTTCACAAATACAATATATTTACAAAAATCCAAAAATTTTCTGAAGTGAAAAAAAAATTATGTAAAAACATACTCACTCTTGTCCTTAATGCAAGACACATTCTAAAACAGTTTCTATGATTCTAAATATAAGACAATTTATTTTTTTAAAAAAGTCAATAGCATCATATGTCATTAATAATTGTGTTGCAGATAGAGATAATAAAAGGAAAAAAAAATTAAATTTAATTAAAATAGGTTCATTTTAATTGAAGGATAATCTTAAAATGTAGTGATAATTTTTTATAATTTTGATTATCTAAATTAATTTTGACGACTTGTTCGTAATCTGTGGAAACTAATTGGAAGTGTCTTAAAATTAAGTATTATAGTCTTGGAAAATCTGATGGCTCACTTCTAACATGTATGTAGGTCCCATGAAAATATGGCCCACCATCGCCCCCCCCCCCACCCCCCAAACCTCTCTATCCCGTCACTTCAGGAATCCATATTATATTACTATTTCTCTACTACCAGGCAAAGCCATAATGCTGAGGCAAGCAGATATATAAAAGAAACCCTTATGTAGTCTGCTTCTCACAACTAAAGTTCAGGTTGGTTCCCCAGTGGCACAACACAATACGGACAAAGACTATGAGTACAGGTGCTAAACCCACTTTACTTCTTCAAGTCTCCACCTACGGAACTGACATTTTTTTTTTTTTTACACCACCTAGTACCTGCTGGCTATACAAAGGACCAATAAAAGCCTATCAAATGGGATGCCTTGATGAGCTTTTATTGTCTCCTTGGAATAAGTTATATATGCCAAAATGTTACACGTTTGCTGAACTAAAAGAAAGGCAAGTTGTTTCAGGTCACCTCTGTCCGTGTGTCCGAAAAATAGACCTGTGTTATGAACAAAGCCATTTTCAGCGCAAGTCAAAGATTTCAAACCTCATATTGGAGTTTTTGTAGACATTGGAGCATGTCTCGTACATGGGATTTCCACTATCTGGGTCTTTGTGGGCATGAAATCCTGTATCTTGGCAACCTTTAAGAATGCTCATTCCATCAGGGTCAGTTATCCGGAAGAGTCCACAGCTCCTGAGCAAATGTCACAGAATTGCGACTTGTGTAACTTAATCATGGAAAGAAAAGAACCCTTAAAAAATTCAAAACTGGTGTATTTGTACCATTGAAAATTAACGTGGTCTTGGTATAACATAGCTCGTACAGGAAGAGGTTTACAATGGTTCAAGGGAAACTACAAGAAGCACTTCACTATCATAGATTTATAGTAGGCCCAAATTACTAGTGAGATTTAAGGGAACACATGATGACAGTTTTTCTTTTTTTCAAAATTTACTACACTTTTCCCAATTTTCGTTTTCTTGCACTTAGATGCACATTGGATGTCTATTAACTGCATTTTAGATATCTATTTTTTTGGTCCTAAAATTCCTCCGTGCCACCTTCAAGCCGAAAGGATAAGCAACTAGTGAAATTTTGACTAATATGCATAATAGAAGACAATGATCAGACCTTGAGGTGTCTTTAGGAGCCAGGACAATGGCAAAAGCCTCAGGAACCATTACCTGAAAATATAACACAAAGTCTTCATGCTTGGTCTACAAGGTAGAATTCAGATTTTTGTTTAGGTAAACATAAATAATTCAGAATTTTGAACCATTTTGGTGAATGGTTGTGTGCATTATTAACATTCAACTAGACGTTGGTCTCATGCATATGCATTACGTAAGAGTTTGAAAAATGAGTTATAATATTCATGATTTATGAATAGTGAGGCTTGATATACATTTTATATTTTCTATCATTTGAATATTGATATCAAACAATCATCACCAATCCATTTTCTTATTAACAACAAGCCTTATCTCACTAAATGAGGTCAGCTACATAGATCTCACGACGTCATTTTACTCTATCATCAACCAAGTTTTTAGTAATATTATTAACTAAGAAGGAAATGTGCGCGTGGCACCCATTTTCTCATTAAATCAGAAGGAAATGAGTTGCAATAGCAAGTCATCAGATAATAAGGAAAAGTTTCAAGATCTCACTCAAACTCTAACCAGAAAGATTAAAAATAACTTTGATCATTAACTGCAGCATAAAACAACTGAGAAGGCATGTATTTCCCACATACTATTTTTCATCCTATTAGAGTTTCTGATGGCCCTAATTCCTGCTCAATCACCCAGTCACAACGCTAAAATATATATATATATATATATATGTATGTATGTATTAATAATAATAATAATAAAAATAAATCCTTCAGTGGTGTTAACGATAAGTTTGCTTTAATTCTAGCGCTATAGTATTCTGTTAACGTAATGCTTCTGAATTCTGAGAGTCATATGAAACTGAATAGCAGGACAACAAAAAATCTTCTACAACAAACAAATCAGAAGCACTACGATCAGTCACCTGATAAGAATATTGAGTGTGCAGATCCACGGATGACATGAAACAATTTTGAGAAGGATGGGTCTACAAGTTTGCAGAATAAACACAAGGGTTAGACATATGAAGCCAACAGGAATTTCTAAGCTCATGTAATGGTAAATAGTTCAGAAGCCTCAAGAAAAAAACTGCCTTTTGTAAAGAAATGTGATGCTGGCAAAGTTGAGGTCTGATGCTGACTGAAATTTAACAAATTTTCACAGGAATTTATCCCTGCTTAATAAATTAATTAATTTTCAAGAGATTGAAAAGCCTTAGGTGATTCCAACAGATCTAGACTTTTAGAATGCCATAGCCCATACCATGCTTAAAATAGCAGGTTTGGACACCAGGATGGTTTAAGAGGAAGTAAACAAAAGCTGAGATGGCAAATGATGTCAAACTAACAGCAGGAAATATAATTTATGAACAATGTTGTCAACATTGGACCAGAAAAAACAAGAAAAGAAAAAAGAAACACCATTATCAACATACAAAACTTTATTAACAAAGCAAAAAGAAGAGAGAGAGATACATGGATCCATCCCACAGGTAAAAGGGATCTCTCATTTAGAATTGCAAAAACTTCCTCCTCGTTCATAGCCTGACACTGGCATTTAGTGCAGAAAGTCAGCAACAAGCAGTAGTGATAAAATAAAATAAAATAAAATACCACTGTAAAAGTAGCTCTGAGATACTCACAGAACTGGAAGTTGATTCCTGCTTCGGTATTATCAGTGTGGTCATGTAGAGGGTTCCCTTTGCCTGGATGGTTGAAAGAAATAATTAATGTCAATTTCAAATTTGAAAAATAATTCATCAATCTAGTTACTACAGTTCTTTTAAAGAAAGTACTAGCTTGTTTCAGTCTGTAAAATGTCACCACATACATAAGTGCAACTAACTACACAGTATAGAGGGACACGACATCTTACCAGCACTCTAATTTATAGTTAGTGTATATCTAAAAAAAAAATACATGGAAATAAAAGATATAAAAGAGAGAGAGAAATTTCAGCTATAATCCAGATTGACGGATGGCTTTAATATTTCCCTGTGTGTGTGTAGAGAGAGAGAGAGAGAGAGAGAGAGAGAGAGATTTTAGAAATAAAGTAATTCAGCAAGAGATATGAACAATTGTGCAGTTTAAACCTTTTATTAAAGGCTGTGAGAATTTCTGATAAGACAGACAATAAGTTATGGATTTATATCGACTCTTACACGAAAACCACCTAGTATACCACATGTTTCCAGATCCTTCTCTGTATTTTCTTTAGCAAGCTCAAGAAAGTCCTCCATTAATCTCATTGACTGAAAAATATGGAATGAGAACGTATTAGCTACCCATACGCAGCAACAGTCATGCACTCAAATAGGTAGTAGGTTCTGGTAATTATTTACAGATAAAGCCTCGCAGTTTGCAAAATTTGAAAATTATATTTATACAGTAGGGGCTTAGACATGCACTCTAAGTTCTTACAATATGTACATCTCGCATGGTCTTAGATGAAGTTGACTCATTTCCTGACTCTGGGCGTCCATGTTCTGAATGAAAAGCTGTTACATGAGAAGTTTCTGTATCTTGAGGCTCTCTCTCCACAAAAGAGAGTACAGGAGAAGGTGAACACTTGGTAACTTTATGATCTATGGAGTATTGAATAGCTTGCTTCATGGAAACTGGATAACAAATTTCCAGCTGACACCAACTACTTGAATCCACAATTCCGGAAGATGAAATCCCAGCTACTTTTTCATCAGTACTCATTATGCTGCATTGCACCCTTGCAGAATAAATTATTGTATGGTGAAAAAAAAAATCTTATTATACATAGATAACTTGTGCATATTGTTCTTGAAATTGTAGAACAAATATGCATTCTCTGTCTCCTAAAAGCCCACAAAAGGAGAGGAGGAGGAAAAAGAAAGAGAAGCTGGAATTTAATATGTTTAATCTATTTTTTCTGCTGCATCACACTTTCTAACCTGTCACAAAGATCTCCATAACATCAAAGAGAAGAGAAAATCTATATGTAGGATAAAGAAAGAAAAGAATGTTAATACGATTGCAGCTATATCATGAGATAATTTATATCATCAGATGCAGACACCATTCACAAAAAAATCTTGAAGGACATAATGGACCCTTCCATTTTTATGTAGATCAGCCTAGCAGAGGCAATGCTCAAACAATTATTAGATCTTCCATTTACAGCGCAAGAAGGAGGCAGGTAAGGGTTTCCTTTCTATTAACAAGGAATAAGTATGATACCACTACCTTGACACGACTTACACTCTCTTCAACAGGCTCCGTGCACATCTAGAAGATTGACAATTGAATATTCACTTGTGTAGTTTTTGAAGGTACAGAGACTCAAAAGGAGAGATAATCTTCACGATTTAGCTCACAATTCCTCCTATGTGAAATCGAGATGTCATTGTTTCAAAGAATCAACATACATTAAGTACAGATAAATAAATCCAATAATGGGACTGCATAATTTACACCAAATGAAATTCAGCAATATTGCCAGCTACAAGTGTAATATCAACCAGACCTTTAATAAAATGAAGTCAGCTCATGCCAACCCACCGGAAATGTTAATAAGGGATTCGGCCTCTGGTCCTACAGCTACACACACAATCAATTATCTGTTCACACCATTCTATTTTAGAATGAATTCCAGTTTGTAAAATTCTTAGTTGACGAAGATGACCCACACGCATAGTTCCCTTCAATTATTTGTCCTTTTTAGGCGTAATCATGAAGACCTTCCTTGCAATCGCTCTATATCAAAAGAGAAAATCAGAGAGCAGGAAATTAGTTAACTTGTGACGGTGAGGTTTGTCTATTCGTACCCAAGACAAAAGATTTTGCTGCCAAGATAAACCATCAAATGGAAAAATCGCAAGAATTTGTTCAGCCTCTATCATCTCGAGGTAAGTTTAAAGGAATCCCGCACTCATCAAACAGCAAGCAAAGCAGGAATTTAGTAGCATAAGATCAATCAACCACATCAGCTTATGCAGAAAATGATTATCATAAAAGATAACGAGCCGCAGAAATTCACAATTTTCAGCTCTAAGATCGACACCCTTCTGACGAAAAATTCAACAAGCCAATTGAACGAGTAAGAAAATAATAAGAGCAATTAGAAAGCAGAATAAGTAGTATACTGATGAGCCAAAGAGGAAGAACGTTGCGCCTTTGACTGATGAATAAGCTGATTACAGAGAAGGAAAAGTATGTGAAATCAGAAAATCACGAAGGAATAAGGATGAAGCGAAATGCAATTGTTGAATTATGTACGAGCTGCGAAGCACGATGGCGTGCTACTGAGTGCTGATGGCGCAAACCGCACCTAAACAAGACAGCCACGTCACTCAAACTATGCTGATGCATTTCATATTTGAATTAATCTTTTTTTTTAGTATGTCTTTGGCCAGAATTTGATTGCTATAGCTTGTATATGGAGATGATTTGATTTTGCTTAATTTGCAATCCTTCCGGATAAATAAATAAATAAATATGTATGTGTGTTGGATGAATGAAATGTTTCTCATTTAATTTAATAATACTTAGATCTAATGTGGTATATTTGATAACAACATATATCAAATGTCAAATAATCAAATAATAGTCTCAAAGACGGAGTTGACTCAGTAGAATTGGATGGATTAATTGACATCTTGACATTTTAAATTTTAAAAGTTAATTAGAAATGTCATTATTTATATTTCCTTATCAAACGCATGGAATTAACTTGAGCCAATTGGGTAGATAACTTGACGCCTCAATATCTTGAATTGTAAAATTTAATTAATAATGTCATCTTATTATACTTTCTTATCAAAATGAAGTTGTTTTTTAAAATAATTTCCAGAAGATAGAAATAATATACTTGTTGATGATGTCTTTAATTGTTGGGTTAAAGTGCAAAAATACCTACCAAATAGTTGATTAAAAGCATTTAATAACTTAAAATGAGAAAAAAAAAGACAAAATATCCATAACATTATCAAAGTTAATGTAAAAGTAACCAAACCTTTAACATGCCCTGACATTGTTAGTTTCTAATATTAAATACTAATTATGCTCGTCATGTGTCAATCTTTGCTAACATGAATTAAAAAAGAGGGCAAAAATACCTACAAAATCATTGGCCATGAGCATCCAATAACTTAAAATAAAAAAAAGGGTAGCAATACCCATAATATTACTTTAGCAGGTACAATGTGACTAATCCATTAGATCCTTTAAATGTTGATTGTTTAGTTGACATTTAAACAGAAATTGACCTTTTTTCATTGACATGGACAAAAAAAATTCTAGATGGTATTCTGAGGAGGTTGATCAGTTATCGTATGAATATCATGTGTGAAAATATCGATTTGACTGAATGCTTGCTTCTTTGCGGCAATGCTAAATTTATTTAGGATTTCAAACCTCATCGTGAATAAAATCGCTTAAGGTTATGCCAATATTCTTAAGGGAAGTGGCGTAAGAGGTGTGTGCAGTCATAAAAGCGTTACGAGCAAAGACAACCTCCATCATAAAGTGCTTGCTGCAATACCTTAAATTTTCACAAATTAATAATTTGATAAACTATTTTAATAATTTAAACTCTTATCATAGTAAAAAAAATTATTTTTCCTACAATAAAAATATTTCATAAATAGTCTATCATGATTAAAAAGGATCTATCATTGTAAACAGATTTAAACATAATAAATTTACTCTACCATACTAATTGAAAAAAGCAGTCATGAAATACTTTAAGTGTACATCCCTGTTACAATTTCAAAGTCATGGCCATGGTCAGTTGAGCAACACTTTACAAACCATGTTTTTACTATAAATACCCAACTTGGGACCAAATATTTTTTTTTTTCAAACACTGGTTACTACTCAAACAAAAACTACTATATAGGGATATACTTAATTAAAATTTTACTTCACAAATATTTAAGATCATGAGGGACAAACAGAATTCTCTTAACATATAAAATATAATAATTCATAAATAAAGTCTACATGCTCAACATATGTATGTATGTATGTATGTCTGTCTGTCCGTCCGTCGTAAGTTAGCATAATATACAACATTAATAAATAAAGAGGTTGAATTAGAAAATGGTGTCTCATACATCAAATTATGCCTCAGTTACTTCTCTAATTAAACTCACTCTTGAAAAAATTAATAACCACGTGGAATGAGATTTAAAAATCTTAGTAATCAAATATAAATATGAAATAATGCACATGAGTTAGTTAATCATGTGGTTGTTAAGTGGGCAAATAAAACAATTATCCAACAACAATCTGAACAGTTATTTAATTAGCATGACTACACCTTAAATCTCTTCTTATGCCATGCTTAGATGCTAGGTCACTTGGTCAAAGGTGAGTTGGACTAAGCTACAAGCAACACATTAGTTCCAATGAATGTTTACTACATAGTAACTCAACCAAACAAAAATCTTTATTGAACAATTTTTAATATACTTCGACCAATCTTGCATTTATAGCAATCGAACAAAAATCATTTGACATATTGTTATTTTAATCAAACAATTTATCTCATATTTTTAGCAGTGCCAATATTCACAGAATACAAATTTAACCAACTTGACAATTATTTTTGAATATATATATATATATATATATTATTTCTCAACCAAAATTAAAATTTTTCAAACAACAAAATAGACACACCATTAATCACATGCACATACATTACCACACATTAATAATAGTTACCTCATACCTTAAACAAAATGTTTTCCTATACAATACCTCTTTCACTACTTTCTTGAACAACACAATTTACACGACCATGTAATAATATATGTATAATATTAATTTCATAATACTAAATATTAATTTTATATTAAAATTAATAAATAATTTTAATTTAAAAAGTTAGAAAGTTTAGGCCTACTTTTCATATTAATACTTACTCATATTCAGTGCCACATTTAATTTCCTTTCTAAAATTCTCATACCTCAATAGATTATATCTAAGTTTTAAATCAATGATAATATCAAAATTTCATCAATATATTTTTCAAAAATTTGTCCAAAAATAAATTAAAAACTCAAAAATTTTCCTTAAATCTCAAATTATCATTTCACAGCCTTAAAAGACATTTATGCATACTCAAATGAATATCTAATGGTCAAAAATCTATCACAACATCTCTTATATAATATAAACTCAATCATATAGGTCTAGATTTTAATTCAAAAATTCTCAAATTTAAGTTTCTACCTTAAAGAAATATTTTACAGTATTTATTATACTTCCAATAACCTCAACAATTTTTTTTAAATCATTGTAACCTCATATTAAATATCTTATAGACAAATTTTAATTAAAAAATTTTCTCCATACATCAAAATAATACCATGGTTAGATATTTCTAAATGAGTAGAAAATATTAATAAAGAAATTTTGAAAAAAAATTATTATGAATACCTTAGTTATTTGAAAAGCCAAAACCTTACCTGAAAATAGTCTATGTAAATGAGAAACAAAGAGGAGGAGGAGGAGGAAAAAAAGAAGAAGGTTGAGAGTGCAAAAATGAAAAGCAAAGGAGAGGTATTTATAATAGAACATGAATTTCACAATCATTTATTGTTTTATTATTTATTTATTATTATTTTATTTTATATTTTTTTCAAGGGAGCAAAGTCATTATTCTTTTTAGTGGTTTTGACTTTTATATTTTTTAAATTTATAATAGGATATGAATTCTACAATCATTTATTATTTATTATTTTATTTATTTTATATTTTTTCAAGGGAGCAAAGCTATATGAAAAAAGGGGCAAAAGTCATAATCACTTTTGTCAAAACCACCGAAAAGTGGTTATGTATGACTTTGCGCCCTTACGAAAAGTGGTTATATATGGCTTTACTTCTTTATTATTTATTATTATTATTCTATTTTATTTTATTTTTCAAGGGAACAAAGTCATAACCAATTTTCGGTGGTTTTGACTTTTGCCTTTTTTAATATATATAATTATATTTAAGTTAATAAATATCTTTTATATAATTTTAAGTCTAAATTTAATGCATATTTAAATATTTAAATATGTTATTAACTTTAAATAATCTTGATATAAATTTTTTTATTCTAAATCTTAAAACAATATAAATTTCTAACTTGAATTCTTGACAAAAACCCAAATTCTACAATTTATACATTATCTAAAGATTGAGATGTTACACTTGTGTTCTTTGTAGTGAGCCACAGCCTCTTTTTTTTTTTTTTCCGATCTTCAATTGTGTACAACTTATATCATTGTATTGGATATCAAGTTTTGTAGATAAAAAAAAAATGAGTGGAGAGGGAGGGAGGAAAGGGGTGGGATACGTGGCAATGGAAAAAAACTACGTGACATGGATTTTGATTAATTGGTCACTATCGCACCTAATAAAGTAATATTATGGGCACTCCTGACCTTTTATCACTTTAGACTATTGGATGCTCTTGGTTGAAGATTTCGTGAGTAATTTTTCCTTTTTTTAGTCCATGCCAACAAAGATTAATACGTGGCAAGTACAATCAGCATTTAACACTAGGAACTAACAGCATTAGGACAAGTTAATGGTTTAATCACTTTTGCACTAATTTTGATAACGTTATGGGTATTTTTATCTTTTTTTTACTTTAGGCTCTTGGATGCTCTTGGCCAACTACTTGATGGATATTTGTGTATGTTAACTCTTAATTGTTTTCTACTTCACTAATTATATAAAAAATTAATAAAAAAATATGACTTTAAGTCTCTGCACTTTGCTCTTGTTTTGCCATTGGTTCTTACAATTTTTTAATGGTTTAGGTCCCTACATTTTTTTATTGTTTTAGATCCCCCCAAGATCCCTACACTTTATTTATAGAAAGACCAAAAATAATAAAAAATAAAAATATAAGGGCCTAAACCATAAAAAAAAAATGCAGGGATTAATAGTAAAACACAAGCAAAGTGCTTGGCCTAAAGTTATGTTTTTTTTAAAATTAATTTATCTTTAGGTTTCAAATAGTATAAGATATTTATTATTTCATGTCAACAAAGTATAGATATTTATTGGAGTGGTTTGACGATCTCAAATATATTAAATTACTTTTTAAATTTATTTATTAGTTACTTCCAGTA